ATGTCCTCTTTGCATGTATACATTATCACTTTGCATGTCGCTTAGGGGAGAAGCCTCCAATATTAGCGAAGCAAAGCATGAATAGGGTCACACATTGAGAGAAGCGCCGTTCCACGCCATGTCTTTAAAACCCAACACAGTCTTCTATGAGTGTGAGTGTGAGCATGAGTCAAACTACTTAAAGTCATTGATGCCACACTTTGTTACTTTTTTAAAGGAACATTTGCCCATAGAGTAATTAGATAAACCTTTTGGAATGCCTTTGTTTTCTTTTAATGGTGTCCACAAACAATGACTGATGTTCTGAAAGCAATTTAGTGATTCAGAATCAGTCATTTTAATTTTTAATAATAACTATATTTAAATCAAAGCTGTGACTTTGATTATCTGGTTCTTATATTTTGGCTAATAGAAGTTGCTGGCCAGTAAAAAGGTTAAACAAGTTCATTTCAAACCCTATAGTCACACAGAGAATCTAGGCTATCAAATGAGTGTCAATTGTATAGTCTTTAAAGTCAGCATGAAACGAAAAGGCATTTTCTAAATGCATTTTATTGATCCTATTGTTAACGATTCATACATGCATATGTTTCTTTTTTTAACGACATTTCAAAATGCCATAACTGGATCTTCTGCTGAAATGATTTCTCTGGTGACTTATGCTTGTCTTCTCCAATCATTACAATCAACTGCAAGCTTGCATTCAGAATAATCCAGCAGTGATATTTTAATCATCATCTTTTTTTTCACCAGTAGGCCACTAGGCCTATGTTCAATTTAAAATCGTTCCTCGTCATGGCTTTGAAAACGCACAAGGATGTCTGCAATCACTTTATAATAGATGATAATACAGTGAAGCGCAAGATGTGTATTATAATGACAATACTATAAAATGTTGTGAATGTTTTTGTGCCTTAGTTGCTTAGTTTCTGCCAGTTGTTACTGGAAGAGTCCTTCCACAACGGGAGTAACACTTTCTGGCTAGCACGTAACTTAGTTCGTTAATTTTGCGTCCTTTTGTGCAGATACAAGTTGTAATGTTACGTTTATGTTGTGTATCTAGGATATATGATTAATATCATATAAGATTGGTCAAATAGATTGGGGTTCAGTTTATTACTCTTCAGCTTAACCTCATGCAGTTATTCCTTTTTCAAATGTTTCTTTTTCGAAAACATTGATGCATTATTGATTATCTGGTATTTTTCTAGTCATATTTTCACATTTTGATAGACATATTTTCATGTCATATTTTTTGTCAACATTAATTTTCATAACAGTGTTTTAATTTAAAATATTTTCATTATCGCCACGATAGACACGCCCCGCCCCACCCCACCCCACCCCACCACCTGCAAACTCCCAAATTACTTGAGTAGGCCTACTTGTTTTTGAGACCTGCCAGTTATCAAAATGAAGAATTGACAAATTTGCCCATCCATAATTCAGATCTGCCTTCAATTGTGTTGTAGTCGCACAGTAGTACTTCCATCATTATGAGCTGCTGGGCAAACAAATCCAATATGTCTGATGAAAAATGGTGTCTATTTTTTAATTCTTTAAGAGCACTGTGATGATATTTTTTAATGTGGAGTTCTCTAGTACACATCTAGAGTTCTCTAGTACATGTCTAGAGTTCAAACACATGACATGTCCTAAGACATGTTCACTGTACAGCCGTTCACATGAATCCCATTCCCCTTGAGTGGTCTGAGGAAGCCAGTCAGACACTACCAGTTCTAGTCATGTTTTTTATATGATTTGTGAATTTGGCTCTGGTATAAGTGCTCACGAACAGTAGAATCCCATTATAATTCCCATATCACAATATAAAACTGCAACAGCTGAGGCATAAAACAACACCCTACCAACTCCATTGAAGTCACCGGAGACGCTGCAGAGCAATATCCCACCAAACACATACTGCGGGCCCACTCTGATCATCACTTGATAGTGTGCTGACAAGCAAACTCTATTAAGCTGTCTTCAAATATGCAAAATGATATGATTTTACAATGATTACATATTCACTTCCCAGCTGGCTGGCTCTATGCAACTCCATTTGTCATTGACTATTGTGTCCAATTATATGATTAGCTCCAAACACTCCGCCACTTGGAGAGCTCTCGTGTGTTCCAGTGCACTGACTGATTCACAAACAAAGTCATTACAACATGTATTCACACATATCAAATAACAAACAGATGGCCATTGTGCGCTGGCTGATTTGTTTGTAACACGAGCGGCAGAAAAAGGTAGTTTTTTGCTGGGCTTTGTTTAAGCACCGACTGTTTTATTCCCAGAGAGAGACATCTGGCTGCCGAGGCTGCTAAATCAACTCAAATGAAAGACAATCTTGTTTCCATTAATTTTTCCTATGGAAAAAGCACTTGTTATGAAGATTCTAAATTACTGAGAAAGCTTCCAGATAATTCATCATATGGGCCAGACAGAAGACTGCAGTTGCTCAGAGAGTGTCTGTCTCTAACTTGATGTGTGCGTGTGCGTGTTAATGTTTGCAGTGCACAACTTACAGTAGTGTGATACGGTTATTTTAGGCAAATCAGTCTGTCCATGACAGGTACTGAAACAATCATTTTGCTGATTGTATAAAGTTTCCCAAAAAGTATTTGGACATACAGTATAAGTCTCATTAAAAATATCAATTCAGCTGGCATCTGCCAACAAATGATGCTAGAGCTGTCCTCAGAATGAACTTCACTTTTTCAGTTGTTTTTAACAAACTGGTCACAAAGGCATTTTTTAGTGGATGTATGTATGAAGTTAGTTCCCCTCAAGTTCACACAGGTGTCCTAGATAGCAGAATAAGCACACACTTCATCATATCAAAGTCTGTTTGAGATGGAAGTTGTGCTAGTTAAATTTTTGGGGCAACTATAAATGTAGTTTTTGGATGTAAGAGATTTATATACATTGAAGAGCTTTATAAACAAGTTTCAAAAACATATCTACTGCTGCTCCATTGCAATTGTTCATCCAAACAGGTCCCACCCCAAAGTTGCCATGTCAGACTGCTTAAGACAGCAGTTTTAAGAGTGCCACAAAGGCCCAAGTTTATACTCTTCAGAAAGACGAACTACTTTTTTCTGCACATTAAAGGGTTAGTTCACCCAAAAATTAAATTTCTGTCATCAATTACTCACCCTCATGTCGTATATATCATGTAGATATTTTTGATGAAATCTGAGAGGTTTCATTCTGACCCCACATGGGCAGCAACGTCATTGCAACTTTCAAGGCCCAGAAAGGTAGTAAAGACATTGTTAAAATAGTCCATGTGACTACAGTGGTTCAACCTTAATGTTAAGAAGCAACAAAAATATTTTTTGTGCGCAAAAACCCCCCAAACAAAAATAACGACTTTATTCAACAATTTCTTCTCTTCTATGTCCGTCTCCTATTTTGTTTACCTTGTAAATACAGTTCAGCGCTTCTGGGTTATATGTCAGAACGCCGGCTCATTATTGGCCAACGCTGTTCATGTGAGCAGAAATTTCATTTTTGGGTGAACTAACCCTTTAACAGTAGACAGTACAAAAAAATGTACATGTATGAAATTGAATAATTATGCTTAATCAAGTGAAGTGCAGGGTATCCATTAGGTATATTGGTATTTGATGCATAACAGGTCCAGAGTTGACTTTAAAATTGATATGAATGTATAAGCTCCATCCATGATTAGTCACAAGTGGTCACTAGGGGTGGGGGTGGGCTTCACTTTTTTATTATAAATGGTCCTGCAGTGAGACATGCACTCTAAAATTGCAAATATTCAATACAGTCTCTCAATGAATATGCCACAAAAGCTTCAAACATTAATAATAATTACAACAGAATGAGAAAAGTAACAGTTTTAGAAGGAATATAGCATGTCACCACATGATTTGTCAGCTTCTCAAAGAATAAATCAGTCCACCAGTCACATATTTAAAGGAAGGTTAAAGAACACAAAGAGAAAATCTTATTTGAAAACATCACAATGTAAAACTATCAGTAGATATAATGCCACTTTCAAGTAATTTGTTTACATTACATGATACCACCTGATGGTGATATTGAGAAAAAGCACTGTGTGGTATAGATACATGTGCCCTGGTCAGTAGTGCCACCTGCTGGTGCCTTATACATCAGTGGTCAACCACGTTTAATGTGAGTACACCCAACACTGAACATTTTGCATGTCTCCTTTGTATGACTCCCATTTCAGGCCTTAAAATCTCTTCCAATGAGCTGATGAGTTGAATAAGGTGTGTTTGATTAAGGAGACATGCAAAATGTGTAGTATTGAACATGGTTGGGAACCAACAGGTCAAGTTTAATGTTGTGCTGTACCAAAGGCCGGTTTGGTTTCATTGTGATCAGCTTTTTGTTAAAAAATGGTGCAGAATGTTTTAAATTAGTATTTTAATCACATATATTTGATTAATCGGTACTTTTTATTATTATTATAATTAACTACATTCTTAAAAATAAAGTGCTGCTATGTAATTTAATTACCTTTTCCCTTTTTGGGAAATTTAACATGCATTACATCCCACACTGAAAGGTAGTATCTCGTTTTACACTTCTGAAAGGACCAGATATCCTAGTATGCACTCCTTTTGAAATAACCTCATCAAAGACATTCGCTGTTTCTGAAGATCATACTACTAGGTATGATAAAAAAGCATGCTTTGCAAGAGACTAACATGTTTTGCACAGATTGTGCTGAGACTGCAAAGAAAGTTTTACAAAGGAAACTATTTCAAACACCTTGCTGTGATTATGCAACAACATCCCCACTTTATATATTTTTACTATAATTTATAAAACTCGTTTTAAAAATAACAGACACACTTGCAGCATGAAACACAACAGCTCAAAACAGTTTGTCTACTTGTTCACACATGCACAAGTGAATTAGCGATGGGTGGTGATGCATATCCGGCAGCAAAACCAAAAAAAGTTTAACTTCATGCAAATGAGCAATGATTCATTGAAGTTACTTGTGCACATGTGATTCGTCTCATGTGAGTTAACTGCAGACAAGAAGTTACTGTTACTGTGAGCAATATCACTATTCAGTATGATTTGTTTCTGTTTGGAAAACATAATTGAGTTTGACTCATGCATTGATAATCGTTCATCTTGTTCTGCAATTTAAATCTTGTTCTGTAATTTAGTTACAAACATCGACATGTTTACATTGTTTTTGTCAGCTGTGTTATTGTTCAGATCATGGCACTGGTCAGGTTGCTGATTGAGCGAATACTGTTGGTGTGACGGCTCTTCCTGCGAACGCTCCTCAGGTAGTTCCTGTACAAGATCACGCTGATCACACGGTCCTGAAACTGCTTCGACACAATGTAGAAGAGTATGATGTCCAGCACTGTACTCGCATTCATCAGGAAGGTGGTGAAGGCCCCCCAGGTGTTGTAACCCTGCCCACCGCTGGCCAGCAGCATGGAAACAAAGCAGATGTGGAAAGGCACAAAGCACACAAGCACCTGAATAATCAGTGTGATGATGATCCTGATGGACTTCTGCTTGATTTTGGGCTTCAGTTTGGACGTGCGGCCGTGGATGAGGTTTTCTACGATGATCATGTAACAGCCCACCATGATGCACACCGGCACCAGGAAGAAGAAGACGATACGTGCGAAGTGGACGGGATTGTCACGGCGCAAGTAGATGATGTCGTGCATCTTGATGCAAGTGGTATAGTTTGAGATACGGTCTGGGTCCTCTTCCAGGAAGATGAGCGGAGCCGTGCTGCCTAGGGTCATGATCCAGACTCCTGCACAGGACAGCAAGGCTTTGCGAACACTTTTTAGTTCTCGGGTGTGCCGCGGCTGCACTATGGCCACATAGCGATCTGTGCTAATGAGAGCGAAGAGCCACAAGGCTAGGCAGGGATAGAGCACTGTTAGTGCTGCGTTAATCCTGCAGAACACGTCCCCGAAGGGCCAGTAGTCTTGACTGTAGTAGACAATTCGAAAGGGCAGCAGTAAGATAAATACCAAGTCCACTAAAGCAACATTGATCATGTATACGGTGATGGAGTTCCGTCTTTTAGTGGTCAAGGCAAAGACCCAGAGAGCGGTCAGATTGACCACTATGCCTATGGTGAAGATAATGCCGTAAAACACTAGGCTAGCAGTCCGGTACACTTTTGGGACGTGACCCTCCATAATGACGGGCAAAGATGTGTTATGATCCATGATGGTTTGCCTGATTTGACCATAAAAAAAAAAAAGAAACCAATGAAAAACAGGGTTTTTCCATGTTTTTAACTAAAGAAGACTTAACATTTTTAAAAACAAGGTAATAGACCTTAGACCTGACCTTACTATAGTGCCAATATTTTATTTTTGGCAAAAATGAAAACAAAGCTGTGATGGATAGAGGTACAGTGGGTTCAATGGATTGCAGTGATGTTTAAAGTGCCCTTATTATGGTTTTTTCGAATATTTCCTTTCATGCAGTGTGTGGTAATATAGCTGTTTGTGAATGTAAATGTTATGCAACGTTGTTAAGTCAAAAGTGCACGATCAATAAAGTTATTGTCTCCCAAAAGAAAGAATCGACTCTAAACCGCCAATACGAGGAGTTTTTTATTCGAATCCTACTGCTTTACGTTTCTACGCCACTAGACGATACATTTGCGTAATGCCCGTCTACGTTGTCCACCCGCGAACAGCTTGACCAGCCCACAACACGGCACTTTACTGATGACTGCTTCTCAAATCTCGGAGTTCAACGTGGGATTCGCAAAACTTGTAGGAAGCCTCCGGACAGAGCCGACGTTCAGTTATGGTGGTCCAGTTAAGGAGCCTTTAAAATAGCATAATAAGGGCACTTTAATAACATACTGATTGTTCAGCTGACTAAAAATCTTTCCAACAGGAAAAAAATTCCAGTTTTGAAAGTTACTTTGTAGCCTACACTGTATGCCATTGTTAAGACTTTTACAATGGCATACAGTGTACAAAGTCTATCCCTCACAGCATCGTTTTCTATTGCGACTTTACTGTACATCTCACAATTTAAGCTTTATATCTAGTAATTCTGTTCTGTTTCTTGTACTTGTGACCGAATATCTTGCAGTTGCGACTTTATTTCTTACAATGTGTCTTTACATTTTATTTGGTAACGCTTTAGATTACTGCCCGGAAAGTACTGCGTAATTAAAGCAATTTTACAGCGTAACCTTCTGTAATTATAGTGTACCTATAAAGTACTTACAATATAAGTATAAGGGAACAATTTTTTAAGTTTGGGGAATAAAGGGGTAACAACCAGGAGAATTAAAAAATTATTTATACTATAAGTATTATAGAACTAAGGGGTACATTCTACTATTATGATATAACAGTCTTACATTTAGGAGCAATTTAGCAAGAACATACACTGTGTACATTTTTGAAATAATGGTGAACCAGTACATTCTGTATAAGCTTTTTAAAAATTACAAGGTATATATCTATGCATTTATAAAGTAATATTTTTAACAAAAGTGCACTGAAAATGAAAACTATTGCAACTTTTGCTTAAAGCTGCTGTCCATAGCTTTTTTGGGGTTAAAAATTATCCAAAATACATATTTAATAAAATACATAACCAGCCAGTGTTCAAAACTATCTGCTTGCCTTAGCTCGATGCAAAACGGTAAGCTTGTAATAATGTTTTTAATTCCAGTGGTACTGGTGGATTTCCGCGGGAGATTCGAGCTTGTCTTTGCGTCATTACGTCACATCTGTACACATAATGAAGGAGTCTCGGCTAGAAGGCTATATTGCGTGTGAGGATGCTGGAGGTGGAGATTTATAGCCTTTTCTCACAGCACTTGATATAATTAAACTTATCAATTTGATGGCGGATCCAGAAAGGTTCAAACGACGATCATCATCAGTGACAACTAGAGACTCACCCGCTGTAACATGCAAAAGACTTCGTTCGGACTTCGGAGTGGCTACAGAAAAAAAAAGAGACTGCAACCGGACCCATGCGAAAACAAGGATACATATCGGAAGGACATTACATGTAGTCACGCAATGCTTGCTGACGTTGTTAACATTAACAATTTGAGAACATAGTATAGCTACTTTGCACGGTTTTGCGTGAAATGATAACTTATAAGCAATTGTTAGATTTAATCAGCGCGATTTACTGCAATGTCAGAACCAGAACAAAAGTGAATGTTTCTTACTAGTTCAGATGACATTTCCCGGTGAAAATTCTTATGTTGGTCATACTTCCAAAAAGAATAATCTGTGATTCTGAATGACAATATCCACATCGGCGCGGTGACTGACAGCTGCACACTCTCCTCAAACACTGTGTTCCTCCGCGCTGTGCCGTGTCTAGGGTGTTGAACTACAACCCACGTAAAGTTGATAATTCCGCGAATGACTGCAATTGCAGATTTCGAACAGAGATGGCGACAAAGAGGAAAAATGCCGGACTGCAGCTTTAAATATTGGGGAAAGATACTTTTGTTTCATGTAGTGGTGCTTGTTACCCCCTTGTTCCATGTAGTTACAGGGTAAGTGTGACATTGCGGGCTGTAAATTAAAGTGGTGCTTGTTACCCTCTTGTTCCATGTAGTTACAGGGTAAGTACAATAAAAATGCATACACAATCTTATATCACTGACTCGGAAACCTTTATTTATTATACAAGCACCACTTACCCTGTAACCACATGAAACAAGATATATTTCCCAGTATTTAAGAAAATTGCAATAGTCTTAGCTTTTCTTGCCTTGAAACATGTAAGCCCAAACTTAAACATCTGCATTTTTGCGATCCAAAAAAAAAAAAAAAAAAAATTTATATATATATATATATATATATATATAAATGCATAGATATGTACCCTGTGATTTTAAAAAAGCCTATACAGTATGTATTGGTACACAATTATTACAAAAAGGTATGCAGTGTATTAGGGGTGTGCCAAAAAATCGATTCACAGAAGAATCTAGATTCTCATTTGCAACGATTCAGAATCGATCTGAAATGTCCAAGAATCGATTTAATAAATAAATAAAATCAGCTGGCTGTTCGCCTCCATTTTTGTAACTATAGCCTATACGGGACGTCCGGACGTCATGCACGCAGTCGGTTTTTGAACGTGAGCGGCAAATCAAAGGAAGCAAATATGGATGCTTCTATGAAGCTTCTGATGCTTCTAAATATGACGCTTCTACATTCATCTGCCGTGGCCGGCCGCCACACCTAAAATAATCCCGCCACGGCTGCAGCTTCTCAGTGAGGTCCGATATTAATGTGTATACTATTGTGTTATTGTTACGCTAAAGGCATAAAAAACATTGTGAAGCACCATAAAGTGTTCGCACTATATTCCAAGACTTCTAAAGTCATTCAATAGCATAATGTGAGGTAAAAATTAATATTTAAGTCGTTAGTTAAAGTTAATAGAAACTCATCTCTCCTCAGTCATTCTCCATTCAGCATTCACACAGCGCGTCGCGTTATAGCGTTCTCTAAATCATAATCCTTTCTCCCGGGTGTCTGTTAGATTACAGCACTGGAGAGCGCTATGAATTGTTCTTCATGCGCACTGTTACTGAAATTTAAAACTGTTAAAAGAAAATGCTCAATAAACTGTTGCATATATATAATACATTAAGCATAGATAGACAGATATAATCTCTTCGCTTTGTGCTTTGAACTTTTCAATCCGGAGCGCTGCGCGCTGTGACTTCGCGTTGCTTCAAGTGCATCATTCTGCGCACGGGATGCGCATAATCGCTTTGCCGCTCTTATTCGAGCCTTTCATGTTATAATGTTATAATGCTTAGGGGAGGTTTAAACACCTGGGGTAAGGGGGCGTGGCCAATGGGAATATCACTCATGGGCCACGCCCCCTCCCCCTGGCGAAATGGGCCTGCCACAACAGCTGGAAAAAATCCTAAAACACTGGTCTCCGTTTGTCATTCTGTATAGCAAAGCAGATGAGAGTAGATCATGATCAGAAACCCGATTAGAAATCATTATGGATAAAATCGAATCGTTTTAAATCGAAAATCTTTTTGAATCGAAAATCGATTTTGAATCGAATCGTGGCCTCAAGAATCGGAATCGAATTGAATCGTGAGATGGTAAAAGATTCCCACCTCTACAGTGTATGTTCTCGCTAAATTGCTCCCAAATGTAAGATTGTTGTATCATAATAGTAGAATAAGTACCCCTTAGTTCTATAATACTTACAGTATAAATATTTGTTTAATTCTCCTGGTTGTTACCCCTTTATTCCCCAAACTTTACATATTGTTCCCTTATACTTACATGCAAGTACTTTATAGGTACACTATAATTACCGAAAGTTACTCTGTAAATTCTTACTTTCAGTACTTTCCGGGCTGTAATTCTCTCTTTTTTACTCTATTTAATTTGTTACTCTCTATTTACTCCACTTTTTATTTAATATAGTAACATATAATAGAATAGTAACAGAAAACAAAATATAAATATAACAAAAAATAATTCTTAAAATGACTAAATATTATGACAGAATTGTCTTTTTGGGTGAACTATCCTATAGACAAGACTATCACTTTTTCTTCATTTGAATTTGAGGGTTTGTAAAGTCATCAAGAAGTCTTAAAAAGAGAAAGGAAACAGACTTCTGAAATATATGAGTTTTAAGATACAAAAAAGTAATAACAAAATGTTGAATATTAATCAATATACTAGTGCATCACTTGAAGGAAATAGGAAGAATGCTACTTTTACAAATCTCAAAAATCTGTGCAGTATCAATGTACATCTTTCATCAAGTCATCCTCTACCTTAAATGAGTAGATATAATGCCACTCTACAAAAGTTTTTGAATACATACTGTTGATAAACAGCCTCCTTATTATTAGATTAACTTTGTATAAAAAACACAATTGACTTACAGCATTGTCTTCAGATATGATTGGCTGTTTTTAAAAGCTATCGTTTTTGTTTTTTGTTTTTTTGTTCTACAAGATGTCAAAGTAAAACATTTAAAGGTACCTACCTCAGAGATCCATGTTGTCGGCATCGTAACTGTTCTGAGGGCTGTACGGGTTATGACTGTAATGTACCATCTCTGCCGAGCTTCGATCTAAGATAGAGGAAGTAATGAAGCCAAGGTCTTTATTTAGATTTAGAATTTTTCTTTTGGTTTCTGTGAAGCCCCTTCACTTCCTGTAATGCATACTGGTGCAGAATATATCTCAAAAGCAAACTGTATGTCATATGCCGTTTGAGAGCAGTGGAGATGTACAGTAAAGATGTGACAGGTTTGGGTGCTGGTTATTGATTGGGAAAATAGGGTTTGTCACACAGCATTAGCTCTCTTGGGAGCAGCACACAGCAGGTGGCAACAGAAGGCATCTGGTGTTGAAGAGTTTTAATTAAACACAGGATGCTGAGGTTGTTGGTGTATAAACAGGAAATGAGATCTTTATGTAGGCTTGAGATGGCAGCTCATCTTAAAAATCACAGAACGAACAGAACTAGCTCTAGACCTGACTAAAGAGGTTACTTTTGCTGAGGTCAACTGGTTATCTGAAAACAAATACGATTGTTGTCTGACACATTTTTCAGGCATAATTATTAAGAAAAAAAACAGCTTTGGTATTGTGTGAAGAGTTTTTCATAAAGAAAAAAGTATTTTATCATGGCTGCCATTTTTGGTCTGCATTTTGAAGGCAGAAAATAAATTCTGTCACCATTTGCTCACATTCGTGTAGTTTCAAACCTGCATAACTTTCTTTCATTTAAAGGAACACTCCGACTTTTTGGGACTTTAGCCTATTCACCTTATCCCCCAGAGTTAGATAAGTCCATACATACCTTGTTCATCTCCGTGCGTGCTATAAGTCTGTTTGACGCACCCACCGCTAGCCTAGCTTAGCACAAAGACTGGATGTAAATGGTTGCAGCTAGCATACTAATCCAAATACCGGTAAGTGATAACCGCAGCACCTGAGACGAGCCGTGGTGAGGAGCAGAGAGCGCGTCTCAGGTGCTGCGGTTATCACTCCGCCCAAGTAGCAGTGCTTCGCCTTCAGAGAATATAGTTCCCCGTATTTATACGGTTAAAATATGTCTGTGTCTCATGTGACTTTGTTTTTTGTACACTCTGTGACTATACAAATCACAACATGTAAATAGGAAAATGTTTGCGTTATTTTGTCACTTATTTGGATTAGTATGCTAGCTGCAACCATTTACATCCAGTCTTGGTGCTAAGCTAGGCTAGCGGTGGGTGCGTCAAACAGACTTATAGCACGCACGGAGATGAAAAAGGTATGTATGGACTTATCTAACTCTGGGGGATAAGGTGAATAGGCTAAAGTCCCAAAAGTCGGAGTGTTCCTTTAAGGAACACGTCGACTTCATGTCAACTTTTTTTTTTTTATGTTGGTGAACTATTCCTTTAATAACTGCTGTTGTTGTACTGTGACAAAAAAAAAAAAAAAAAAAAAAAATCCGCACGAATGAAGTGTTCAAGCTGCGACATTCAGCCGGAAGTTTAATACTAGTGTGAAAGAAGGTAGGCTACTTTAAAAACATCAACACTAAAACACTGTAATCTGTGTGGAACATTCATATTTTCCATCATTACAGTGGAGCCATGTTCTCCACTGTGAACTGTTAGCTGTTACCTCTAAAATTCGTACCAATGTGACACCTACACTGTACATCGGCTGATTCATTCACCCTGTCTGACATTTCCTCTGTTCGACAATCGCCCACATCAGGAAGTCACTAGTTTTAACTTGCCCATATGGGGACAAACACACAAACAGTCTGTGTTCACATATCTATAGTAGAAACCTTGGGATTTTTTGTGAAGATTGTTGTGAAAGATTAGAGAAATGAACTTGAGGCCTGTCCAATGAGGAACGTCTGAGTGCACATAGTTTATTTATTTCGGTTCCTCCATATTACAAAAAAGGGAAGGAAGACCTACAAGTCCTATAAAGTATTATATCAATAATACTTTTTTTTTTACAGTTATAGCCTGTGCTCAGATCTGTATGATTATTAGCACCATGAAGCAATGTATTGGATATATTAGATGAGTATAAGCAGAAACAGTCCTTATAAGCTAAAAACTTTTTCTCCAGAAGATATGAGTGCGACAACGGTTTTATATTTAGTCTTAATGATTTCATATGCCAATGTCATAAAGGGTATTATACTGTAGATTCTAGAGAAGTGAATATTTTAGCTCTAGAGAAGTGATGCCTGTATAATGACTTAATCTCATTTTGTAGACTTGCATGGAAATTTGAGATAGAGACTAGTCAAGGCCTTACCCCTGAGAAGATTGAGTCTGAGTCAAGACCAGCAACAGAACATTGTCCAGTCTGAGTCCAGATGCTTGTCCAAATATGGTCTTTGACTGAAACACTGTGATCTGAGCTGTCATAATTATGTAATGCATAGTATGGCCATTTCTTTTTAATAAGTTGATAAGTACCTAATTAAGAGATATAGGGAAATGGGTAAACAGTAGGGGTGTGACGATACACTTTGCTTACTAGACGAGATGATACGATATTGGGTTCAGGAGAACGAGACGACAACGTTTTTAAGAACCCTTCAATGACGAAATATGTGACTGGGTATGGACAGTCTTTTATTCGACTGAAAGTCACAAAATGCAAAACAATGCAGGTGCATTTTGAAATGTTTTAACTAATCACTTATACTTTCGAGTAATTGGTTGATTATTTTGACGATTAATCGCTAAAATAGAGTGAACAATAGCCTTTAAAATAACTTCAAATACATAGCTATATAATAACAATGAGGCAATAATTGGTTCAAAAGCAAATAATCATATGGTTTTATTAAACAACACTGTTAAAATACACAATGTAATAGAAACATACTTAACTTATATACATTGTGTATTATAACAAAATGCCTGCAGAGGGCGACAAAGGCCTGGTGATTGTTGTTGTTGCACTTTACAGCATGATCAAATCCTTGTTTAACATTGGACAAATAACATTTAATTCGAATGTCCACTTAATCTTTAAAGGGATACTCCACTTTTTTTGGAAATAGGCTCATTTTACAACTCCCCCAGAGTTAAACTGTTGAGTTTTACCGTTTTTGAATCCATTCAGCCGATCTCCGGTTCTGGCAGTACCACTTTTAGCATAGCTTAGCGTACATCATTGAAGTGGACAAGACCATTAGCATTTCTCAAAGAAAAATGACCAAAGAGTTTCGATATTTTTCCTATTTAAAACTTGACTCTTCTTTAGTTACATCGTGCACTAAGACCAACGGAAAATGTAAAGTTGCGATTTTCCAGGCTGATATGGCTAGGAACTATACTCTCATTCCTGCGTAATAATCAAGAAACTTCACTGCCGTACCATGAGTGCAGCAGGCGTAATGATATGACGCAGCGCCTGAAAATAGGCTACCTTCCGTCAACACCAAGGGGGTAATCCATCAGCCGGAAGTTGAAGCTGCCTCCGGGGGCTGCCATTGTAGCTGGCTATCACCTGCTGTTAGCATCCCATTGACTCCCATTCATTTTGGCGTCACTTTGACAGTGAAAACTTTACATCTGAGGCGTCCAAAGACTCCATTTGTCCATTATTTATTTCTAAAGAAACACGACAATGTATAAAAGGCTCCATTACTTTGTATCTTACGTTATGGCCCCGTAGAAGCCATTCTTGTAAAAATAGGCTAACGATTGCGTCATAACCACGGGACGCTCTGTCGCACAGTAGAGAAATTACCGTATAGACAGAAGTAGAAGCTCGTAGGCAATCGTTTACTGTCTATGAGGCAATCGGGTGGACATGGAGACATAAAGTCAAGGGAGAAGCCCATAGATAGAGAGTTCATAAAAGCAACGGGACAAAATATTTCAACAACAGATTTGTTTCAGATTTCAATTCAGATTTGTCCCGGCACAGCTACTAGAAGGTCAGAACGGTTGCTCACGTGACAACTACGTCGTCAAGCTCAGTTTGAGCCTGCGCAGAACGCTTGGCTATCAGGAAGTGAGTGCCCATGTTGGGCTTCAACTCTCTCCGTTGAAATCAACGGGGTCGCTGTGTCCATTTCTTTTACTGTCTATGGTCAACACACCATAGAGGTCAACACAACGGAACTATTTTCAGGCGCTGCGTCATATCATTACGCCTGCTGCTCTCATGGTACGGCAGTAAAGTTTCTTGATTATTACGCAGGAATGAGAGTATAGTTCCTATAGAACCGGAGATCGGCTGAATGGATTCAAAAACGGTAAAACTCAACAGTTTAACTCTGGGGGAGTTGTAAAATGAGCCTATTTCCAAAAAAAGTGGAGTATCCCTTTAAGATTTGCCCACTTCTCAGCCTCTGTAGCATTTTCTTGAACAAGAACATGTGGATATCAAAAACATGCAAACTCACAGCAAGGGTTTAAACTTTTTTTTTTAAATCATGATGAACCACAATTTTCATATTTAGAAACAAATTGGTGTATATTCTGCTGTATTGGGTTTTAAATGGTTTAAGTTACAAAACTGATGAAATATTGCGAGAAATATTGGTTTTCACCTCGACGAGAAGTATCACGTTTTAAAATCGTTTTTTGGTAATTGGTGTAAGGCTGATGCCGGTATGTCTGATCGACCCCTCAATGTGACAAAAGTCCCTCCTGGGAATTAACACTTGAACTATCTCTTTAATATGTTACTCCCTCTTGCATATGTAACAGGAACTTTGGAGACGCAGCACACAGTGCAGTTCACACTTCACCCACACTATCTCCCCCACATCCCCCTCCTCCTCACCTGAAATACATTGAAACCTTATGCAATGTTATGTGTGTACAAAAATGTAACTACTCATGTTTGGTGTCTTTTAATGTGTCACAATGCGCCTGGTGACATGGTCTCATTCTCCCAACTATGATGAAAAGCTAAAAGAAGTTATGAAATGTGAGAAAAGTGATGTGTCCCATAATAGCCTCATTCAAACTACCTCCTGTATGTAAAATCAGGCAGACCTCACAGTGTGAGCCCCTGAATAGACAACCAAAATCTAATTATAATGACAGACATCACCATTTGGTAACAATTGAATTATCTGGGTATATAAGGAAAAAGAGCAGAAAAGTTCGGGGAGTCTGTAGGTTGACTGCCCGCACAATCGCTGTGTGTAACTCTATTGACAGGTAATAATTACTACAAATTCTGTGATTTCGGAATCATTGTGATGAAATGTTTAACTGACGATTTTATCCTTTTGAATTGGATTTTGAATTATTGCTTCATTACCTGATCAATAAATTGTAAACGTTTGATTTTATTCTGAGTAACTTTGAAAGACTGTTTATTCCCTAGATTATTGGATTCGTATATTTCCACATCTTACGCATCAGTTTAGCGACGGCTAATATTCCGATACCATTTTACGTGTACTTGAACGAGGGGGCAAGTTATTTCCGACTAGAATCAGCAAACGCTGTTTTAATCAACCTAGGTTTGGGTGTGTCCATATCCACTGTTTTAAGTTAGTGATTACTTTGGATAAACGTGCGTGGTTTACAGACCACGGGCTTGACCTGAAGCCATCTTAAGAGAAGTTGAGTTGATGAACTGTTTCCTTTCATGGTCAATCGTCCCTACTAAAGTAACACATTAATTTAATTTCTAGAGGAGGCGTTCAAGGGGACTTGTATATATATCTTTGATTGTACGTGTGAATACGGCAGATCCTAGATATTTAGTCAAATTACCTCTGAATTGGTTATTGGAACTGACGGGAGTGTGTCGTGCGGCCTTCGGAGAAGGACTGCTGAGCGATATAGTTTCCTGATTGCGGATAAAACTAAAATCAGTGTTGAAAAGAATAATCAAACATTCGCTAACGTTTAATGATGCACGGATATCATTAAAACCTATTCATTTTATGGAGTCAGATGAATTAATTAATTAATATGAGAAAATATATTGCATTCCATTTAATCTTGTTGTGTTGCGTGAAAGGAAAGGCAAGAAATACGCAGAGTAACCTTCTTCCGCTGATTGGATGCCGCATTTGGACCAATCGAGCCGGACTTTACATTGGTACGAGATCTTGTCACACCCATGAAACAGGTAATATAAATACAGCCATTATTAAACAGGTCAGGACCTCAATGTAGATGACATAAAACATAGTTTCTAATCATGCGCCAAATAATACCCCAAACAAGCACTTTGATCAGCCAATTGTTATTTGAGGCAATCTCTAGTTGCTGAGATGCAATTATTGACAGACTTTTACACTGTTCCTGACAGTGAATCTCTAGGCCTTCATGCAAAAGCTTACCAACTGTTTCCCCTTTCCTGTAAAAAGGATCAGTTCAAAGAGGGTTGAAGCAACTCAGCAGCTTCCGTCCATTTTTGCAAAGTTTAGCTAACCACTATTCCCCCTGCATCTGCATGTTCTGCTTCTCTGGGGTCTTTGTCAAGACACCATAATATTGGTATTCAAACTTTTTCCTGTTTTTGTCTGTGGTGTCACTAATTTCACTAGTCACCAGTGTCACTAGTCTTTCACATCCCTTCTGAAGATGAACTATTTGGCCAGTTTTCACACCAAGTATTTTGATGCAATCCAGAATCTGACCGCTTTCAGTCACCTTACCAATCACAATAAGTCTGCAGTAAAGATTTACTGCAATAGTACATGTACGAAAAAACTATTTTAATTCAGTTTAGTACAGCAAGCAAATTAATCTCCCCGTGTCTCTAAGCAACATTACCATTTGTTTTTCATTATAAACTAACTGAACACTAAAATGTCAATATAGTTCCCTGTGTAAAGAGGAAGAAGTGACATGTTTTTCTATTCATGAACTTCACTTTTTGCTGTATGTCTCCCTCTTATGGCTGTTTGTTGTAATTGCACTGAATTTGACATGGCTGTAAGATCATGGTCAAGAAAATATTGAACCAGTCTGTGTGAAATTTATGTTCTCTATCTCCAGGATTATTATTTGTTATAGTACATTTAAAGATTTGTTTTGTGCTCTTTATCTTTATTATTTTTATTATTATTTTATTTGTATTTATTTTTTTGAGCTGTTGGCTACATGAGGAAAAATATACTGTCCTGCTTAAAAGGCTGGTTTGCTGGTCCTTTGTGGTTTAAGATAGTTTAGCTGTGAACTGTCTGGTTTCTCAGCTGCCTAAAGCCCATCTAAAACTAGTCAAAAGTACTTTATAACAAGTTACCAGAACTAGGACAGTGGTTTTTCCCTTGTGCACCCCCTTGTGGACCACAGAGATACTGCATGGTGCTTGTCTGCAAATAATTACAGTTTTGGTCAAAACTAAATAACATTTAAAAAAAAAAAACATCTTATATCACAAAATACGAGTAATTTTATTTCACGATAACGATATATATCACGATATAGTTATTTTTGCTTTAAATGAGGTTATGATATCAAAAATATTGATACCATTAAAATCTCATAATTCATATCACCATTTTCAATATCATTTAAAAAATTAATACTAGCCTAAAAAACTCCCAAGCTTACTGAAGACAAGTAAACAGTGATAAATGAAATAGACCTACATGAAAAACCATTAAAAGGAAAAACTACATGTGTAATGTAATCAAATTTATATATAAAAAAAAACAATGCATAGTTTTTACTGTGTACATTAAATATACATTTATTCTTATTACAGGTACAAGAGCAGTGAGAGATTTTGTCTTTTTTGTAATTTGGATGCTGTCACTTTAAGACCGACTGCACGGATTGTGCTTTTTCTTTCTGAACTGTTTACATTCACTTAATGCGTTAATTATACCTGCAAATGCATGGTCACTTTGACACAATACTGTGTATGTGTATTTAACCGTTCAAACCCGTTTAGGTGGCAAAAAGCACTTGGTTCAGTTCTCACGTGCTTTATTAGCAGCGGCTTCATCAGTTCAGTTCTCTTTCGCTGCTAATTGTGCTTCAATAGTTTAAAATCACTTGTTTTTAAACTGCAATGCTTAAAAATGCATGTAAACGATAAGCTTTCTTGACCATGCAGCACAGCAACGTCATGCGAGACAATAGTTTAAAATATCTACCGGTTGACAAATTTCTACCGGTTAATCGTGTATACCGGTATATCGCTCGCTCACCCCTAAATCAGTATAGGCAAGTTCATGTGTTTAGTTGGTAGAGGTTCACCTACTATTTAAATGGATAATGTCACACTTAATTGTCAGTGTGATTGTCAAGTTTATGGTCCTGAGGCACTAATGCTAGGAAGTTAGGAACCATTGAGGAACACGATTTTTTTTTTTTTTTTTTGGGGGGGTGTTATGATTGTTCACTTTTATGTACTGTCTCAGACTACCTACTCTATAATGCTTGTGATATTCTCTTTAAACTCGGGTAAAATCACAAAACCATCACATACCTTTAAAGGATGAGACTTCGGTGAAAAAGAGTGACTGATTGTAAGGATGGAATATCACTGAATGAATCAGTGATTGATTCTGAATCTATTTCTGACTGGAATCTCATTCTGTGGAATCACAGATTTGAGTCACCTGGTTTCTTGGTATCTTACGAGTGCTGTTCCTCATCATTTCACTGCAGGTGTTTTTGTCATTTCAACTATTTTCTTTATACTGAAAAGATCAAATGAAAAACTCCAGAACAAATTCTATCATGATCTAAGACAAATGTGCAATAATATTTAAACAGCATCACAAAATATTATCTACCGACTGAGAACCGATAAGTTGAAACATAAAAATAACAATCCAGAGGTAAGAAATGTGTTATTTTTAGTCTCATACAGTCGCTCAACTGCATTTCTTCTTCTTGTTTATAGTTTAAAAACATGGCTGCCATTAGTCACTCAATAGCACACTGCTCCTCTCTTTCTGACTGCTTCTTAAGCTCATGTGGATTTTGTCATTCCCAAACACGTCTTTGGAGGAGCCTTCGGGAGAGGTCCTGACCACGCTCGAGAAGGACATGCTGACTTGTTTTCTGAGCAGTCTGAGTACCTTCTTCTTGTATCCTTTGCAGGCAAAGAAGTAGATGAAGGGGTCGAGGCATGAATTGAGATTCATCAGACAGACGGTGATGTGAAGGGAGATCTGAAAGTCGTGCAGTTCTGAGCAGTCTGGCTCGTACCGTAGCTTTCTGATCATGTACTGCAGGAGGTCGATGTGGTATGGACTGTAGCACACCACGAACACCAGAATGACGGTGCAAATCACGCCGATGGCTTTACGACTGCGACCCGACCTCTCTGTCAGTTTATTGGACTTGGCCAGGATGCGGAGCTTGGAGCACAGTGCCGAATAGCATACCAGGATGATTATGACAGGAATGCCGAAGCCGAGCAACACGGCACCGATGAGCATGACAGGCAGGTTGTCGATTTTCTCAAAGTTGGGATACTCCATACATGTTATGTGACCACTTTGCTCGTTGTTCGTCATGGGCATTGACAGCAAAGGCAGTGTCTGCATCAACACCATGACCCATACGGCCACACAAATGTACTGCACCTTCTGAACCTTCCGGAAGCGGGAGAAGCGCAGCGGCAGCACCACTGCAATGAAACGGTCCACGCTTAAACAAGTCATGAAGTTGACGCCAGCGTACATGTTGATGTAGAACAGCAGAGCCATGGCTTTGCATAAACCCTCCCCCATTGGCCAGTGAAATCCCATAGCATAGTAAACCACACGCAAGGGCAGAGCTAATGAAAACAAGATGTCTGACACCACCAGGTTGGCTGAATACAAAGTTGTGGAGTTGATTTTTTTAAAATTCGGCCAAATGACATGCAAAGCCAACACATTGCCCAGCAGTCCCAAAATGCAAATCAGAGAATACACTGCAGGCAGGAAATACTGTGCCCAACCACGATGGTCGTACAGGTTGGTACAGATGCCAGAGTCATTGCGAGTTGAGTTTGTAGCTGCTACCATCTCCATGAGGTCAGTTATGATATCTGAAGAAGGGAAAACAGATACATTACTACAGAACTGAGATATCACAATCAATGCTTGTATCAGGTTTCATGGTGTTGTTTCACTAAGGAAGTGTAACCCTTTTGCGTCCTTTTTTGTAACGGGCATAAATGGCAAAGGAAACATCACAAGCAACCTGCGGTTTCAAAGCACTTGCTCGCCCCCAAACTCATTACGATGATGTTTTTATGATCGACTGAAATTATTTTAACGCGTATGTACGGAAGTTTGAAGTTTTTATGTCAATCATCAGCGCAAATGCTTAGAATAGTGGTCCAGACAAGCAGCAAAAGGTGTTTCCTGTCAGTCCTATACAACTGCCCGAATTACCCTCACAAAGACCTTGACTGCAAGAAAAACATGTCTGGGTAGAAAACAATTCTCTGTGATGGGGTAATGGTGATTGTGTAATGGCTAGTGTACTTCTGCAAAGCCAATAACTGCTTTTAGGAAGTTTTTATATAGTACATTTTAATAGTAAATCCAAGTTTTGCTTTAAAAAAAAGAATATACTGCTTTAGCATGCTGCAATAATTCACATTTTTTTCACTCTTTAGTGGTAACCTTGCTATTCATAGATTTAATCACGATTTGCAGTATTTTAATGAGTTAGAAGTAAGATCTTTTCATCCATGTGCCAGTACACTCAGTACTCACATGCTCTGAAGATTTCCATTTGTATTCGCATTCATCTTTTTACTTATATTATGCAAGCTGAATATATATATATAGGCTATATACAAATATACATATATATACAAAGTCTGAATACTTCAAAAAAGATTATTATAAAAGCATATGTACTTACCAACACTTTCTTTTGCTCCAGTTTTTGTGCTTCTGTTTTGTCAAGTGATCTGATCATGGCAGTGTCAAAAGTGGCACCTCCTGGTCCGGCATTAACCACGTTTTCTAGCACACCCCATGCGATGAAATACTGTTTCCAGCCTGCTTTTGTAACCATGACGACTGACAATTTCCTGTATTGCTGATCAAGATCTGCCCATTTTTCTTTTTCTCAGTGTTTTGCATTTGAGTGAGGACCTCTCACTGTCACATGTTAATTGCCATCCTACACGTGTTCCACTGAGGTTTCAGAAAAATGAAACTCATCAGGACTTAATAACCCTTATTAATGGTTACTTTAATCATTTCATTTGGTTACTAAAATTGTGTAAATTGTGACACAACTGACAAGAACATCAGTAGAAAAGAAAGAGAGAATGATTAATATATATATATATATATATATATATATATATATATATATATATATATATATATATATATATATATTATTGTTATTTTAAAAAAACATATTTATATACATGTATTTATGAGCAGGAAAGAATCCGGCTTCATTTAGTATATAGTTTCATATGTGAATTGGGATGTTACATTTTTCACATGTTTCATCTGTTTAAATAAAATGTGTGATTTTGATTCTTTATAATGCGGTTTGCAACATTAACGGGTGTGACAGCAGTTGTGAAAGTGCACAGTTCTTCGTTCTATTGTTAGAATTTGAAATTTACATCTGCAAGCTTTTGAAAGACTTCCCTGTTCACTTTGAAACATCCTATATGCACCTGTAGGCATTTGTTACAACCACTTAAAACAAAATGTAGATGAATCAAAGAACACTAATGCCTGCTTTGTGGTTGTACTTAACTACGGTAGCTGGTGAGACGAGTAGTAACGTATGGCGTAAAGGTTGAGAATACAGGTTGCATTCCATGATTTTGTTCTTCACAATTTCTAATATCAAATGAAACAGTGTTTATGACTGGATTTTTCTAAATGTCTTGTATATTCCTTAATATCGAGGAAGTATATTCTCAGTAATACATATGAGATCGATGACAAAGACATCCACAAAAAATTTTTTTTTAATTATTTTTTAATTAACGGTGTTTAAAATACTTTCAGAGCTTACTTCTAACAAACAGAAATTAAAAAAGGTTATTTCCGGCTACTGGTCGCTGCTGTCACCAAAGCTACCATCCTAGCTTTTGAGAGGATGTGGCTTTTGAGAAATCTTTCTTTTTTCTGCTAAACACACTTTAAATGTGCGCAATCAAAATTTGTAATCTTCACTCCATGTTATGCACATGGACTGTACAGCTAAAGTAAAGCAATGACTAATTTATTCCTGTGAGGTCACCTTTTACTTGCGTAGATATGTGGTTGGTTAGACAGAACGTTTACAAAACAACTTCGATCCTCAATGAGCAGAGTCCTATTTTATATATTTGCACAAAAAGTCTCTGAAATATGTGTGCATTGCAAATATCACTGCACTCTAACTTTAAAGTTTGGGTTCTAACTATTCAATGTCCAATTACAACGCATAAAAAAATCTGTCAAATTCAGCTCTTCCATGAATATCTTAAAGGTGAGATGTTTGTTTTATAGTTTAACCTGTGACAGTGATGCAGGAAACCTGAAATAAATGGCTTCAGTTTCTGCTGTCTACGGGTTGACCCCTGTTCCAAAAGCACTGCGGCACCTGCCGCTTCTGCACACCCGAGGTGACAACTCAAAAACACATTTTTCAAATGTGTAAGCAATAACCCCTCACATCAAGGGCACTGCATATGTAGCTGTTAACTATTTCCCGATGATGTTTTTCATATGTCTCAGGGTGTTTTTCACACCCACCGAGGGCTCCAGAACTCTCTTCAACTGTTGAACTTACCCTATGACTTACAGTCATATTGTTTCATTGGCATATTTTATTATTTTAGCTTTGTTTAGTTGGGAAGGTTGTAGTTTTGAACCCATCAAGGGTTGGTCCATGAACCGCTTGAGCATGACATGACTCTTCACTTTATATTACTGCTTAAAGATTGAATATATCAAAAGTGTGCTGTAAGTCAAAACACTCTATGTACGAACATCTCTTAGTGTTTCATGAGCCAGCGTCTGTGTCTGAAAGGAAGAACAGGACAGTGTGTGACTTGATGAGTCAAACACACATGAAAAACCAGACATAATGTGTCTGCTTGACTATTTAACTCAGAGCCGATGCTTTTAAAACCATGCAGACAGATTTGTTCCTGTTAGAGTCATGTAAAAAAACAAAATGCCAATACATATATTTTATAATAAATTCCTTGCTGCATTTTTGTCATGACAATATCATTTGGCCCACAAACACCACAGAGACTGGCAAAATGACAGCTGAATTTGTTTGATATCTTAAGCACACTAAAAAGTTTCAGTTTCGACTCATAGCAAAAGAGAGCTCCGTGTTTTGAGTGTCGGCAATGCACTTTTTTTTTTTACCCAGACTTATTGACACAGAATCGGTTTAAGTTTAAAAGACAGTCACCTCATAGTGAGATTCTTCTAAAAGACCATACAGACGATGATGATTCTTTTCTTGAAATTCAATGCAGGTTGTATTGAAATGTGATGCAAATTGTCTGCTTTCAGGATATCTGGGATAAAGGTTAACAGATTGGCAGTTGTTGTTGACTTTTTTCTTGTTGGTCAGTGAACGCATGAGGTAGTGTCAAGGACTTGTGAATTGTAAGAGGAAATCCGTTTCAAACCCTGCTGAACAGCTTAAGGATATACATTTTTGCATGTTGAAAACATTTTTTGTGTATGAGTTTTTGAAATTTAAATCCTTGACCTTGCCTCATATCCTTGCATCAAGAGGCACAGAGTGTGTTGGAGCACAGATGATTCTTTAGACGGATGTCTTTCGTTGACGTAATGTTTTTTTGTTTACTCACTTTTTTGTCGTTGTTTTTTGTAAAAAAAAAAAATACAATTGAAAAATACAATTGAATAATACAATTATGATTTAGTTTACGATTTAGTTTAATTTACACTTCATGAATTAAAGCTGCAGTCCGTAGCTTTTTTGGGGTTAAAAATTATCCAAAATACATATTTGAGAAAATACATAACCAGCCAGTGTTCAAAACTATCTGCTTGCCTTAACTCGATTCAAAGCGGTAAGCTTGTAATAATGTTTTTAATTCCAGTGGTACTGGTGGATTTCCGCGGGAGATTCGAGCATGTCTTTGCGTCATTACGTCACATCTGTACACATAAAGAAGAAGTCTCGGCTAGTAGGCTATATTGGTGTGAGGATGTTGGAGGTGGAGATTTATAGCCTTTTCTCACAGCACTTGATATAATTAAACAACTTATCAATTTGATGGTGGAGCCAGAAAGGTTCAAACGACAATCGCAGTGACAACAGATTCACCCGCTGTAAAATGCAAAAGACTTCGTTCGGACTTCGGTGTGGCTACAGAAAAAAAGAGACTGCAACCGGCCCATGCGAAAACAAGGATACATATCGGAAGGACATTACATGTAGTCACGCAATGCTGACATTGTTAACATTAACAATTTGAGAACAAAATATAATTTGCACGGTTTTGCGTGATATGATAAGCGATTGTTAGATTTAATCAGCGCGATTTACTGCAATGTCAGAACCAGAACAAAAGTGGATGTTTCTTACTAGTTCAGATGACATTTTCCGGTGAAAATTATTAGGTTTGTCATACTTCCAAAAAGAATAATCTGTGATTCTGAATGCCAGTATCCACACCGGCGCGGTGACTGACAGCTGCACATTCTCCTCAAACATTGTGTTCATCCGCGCTACATAAAAAGTACATAATTTTGCTCTGACCAAAGTGATTTGAATTCACCTGACGTAGTAGTTATGACTTCCCAACGTATAAATACAAACTTCCTAGGAGGATTTAAACATATCACAAGTCTAATGTGTCTCTTGTGTGTAGACAACGGTTATTATATTATAGTCATTATAAACATTTCAGGGTGCTAATGAGGTACAGTTTAACAATATTGTGGAATGTGGATCAATACCTGTGAGCACAAAACCTGCTTTTAAAATGACCGCTTTATAAAATGTAAGTGTTTCAACAGAAAATCACAGTTCTTTAAAAACACATTTACATTTTGTTAACAGAAAACATAGCAAAATGTTCCAAATTACACATTATAAATACATTCCATATAAAACAAGAAAATATGAATAATTAAAAGGATAGTTCACCCAAAAAATAAACATTGTCATCAATTAGTCAATGTCTTTACAAACTCATCTTCAAAGCACAAATTAAGATATTTTAATGAAATCTGAGAGATTTCTGTCCCTCCATTGAAAGTTATCCAAAAATCTGACACTTTAAAATGTTCAGAAAGTAAAATAAATCCATATGAATCAAGCTGTTTAATCCAAGACTTCTGAAGAGACACAATCGCATTATATTATGAACAGATTTCACATATAAACATTTACCAGCGAGCGTACATAGAGCACTCAAATATGGTAAACGGAAGCTTGACGCGCGAGAACAAACCTCTCTGAAAAATTCTGCCTTTAGACGATACATTTCAAGGTAGGAAGAAGGCATCCAGGCACGTCCGACCGAATCCACTATAGCTTCACTACATGGGCTACCTTCATCTGATCGATTTTTGAAGGCAGCATAGATGTATCCTTCACTGCCTATGAGATATCCCACAATCCTGTGTGTTCCATTCCGTGACAGTTGAGCTAAAAAATAATTATGACATCGATTGGTGGTCAGTTTGTGTGTAAATGCAAATTTTTTAACAACTTTTTCCACTTTTGATGTTATTTAGCGAGAAATTACTAAATATTCACTTAGTTATCACCAAAGCTCACGCTATTTTATTGTAGATCATTAAACCGTTATGCTTCCTCAGAAACCTGGGCTAAACCTGGGTATGCACATGCACAAACGCTGCCTGCAAACTCATTGCCTGATATAGGGCAGCAAGGCAACACGTCAGATGCCTTTCAGATGTAGCCTGGTTTTTGTGGAAGCTCAAATGCCCTGACACGGACACGCGAGAGAATGAACCTCAGTGGTTCTTGCACGTCAAGCAAGCATGCTTGAGCTTCTGTTTACCAAATTTCAATTCATTGATTATATGGATTTCTTTTACAATCCCTTTAAGAAGAGTTATGTTTTGAAGAGTCACAGTTTTAGGGTGAATAGACTCTCAGAGGAAGGGCAGAAATCTCTCAGATTTCATTAAAAATATCTTCATTTGTG